GGGCTGAGTGAGTCAGCGAGCGATGGGAGGGGATGTGGACGCCTCCAGTGAAAGAGGTTGACGATGTCAACTGCGGAGAATAAAGGAATGGCTCACCACGGGCGGCGCGGACCTTCCAGTACTGTTTTGTTTTTGATTCCCTTAACGTTATAATTGTATATTTGAGCCTACGACCAACGATATCATTGTTCCTTTATTTATTTCGGTTATTATTATTTTCGTGATGTTTCAGGAGCGGGCAAGCCGGCCACGATCGTGGTGCGCGTGGGTAACAACCGGCCCGACCTGGGCACCAACCCCGTGTGCAACCGCTTCACCGGCCAGCTGGAGGAGGGCAAGCCGCTGTTCCTGCCCTGCAACCCGCCGCTGCCGGGCGCCTTCGTCTCGGTGCACCTGGAAGGCCCCACGCCCACCCAGCTGTCTATCTGCGAGGCGTTCGTCTACACTGATCAGGTGAGGACAGCGAAAACCGTGGACCTTTTTAATCGGGGGGTCATTTTCACTGGAAACACAAAGGTTTCTGAGTGGCACCTTTGCGGGGGTGCTGAGTTTTGAGTTTAAATGTCTTGGTAAATACGCGAAAGAACCCGAAAGATGCTAAAAAGTAGTGCCTTTTGTGAGTTTTAATAATGCCCCTAGCAACACATTTGTTTTTCCAGTGTGGTTGTAGTGCAAAGACATACAAGTAGTGTTAGACAGTGCAGACCGGACTATATTTCAAATCATCGGCTCTGTCGTCCCATCAACGCCTTCCCTTGCCTTTGGGTGGGCTTTTCTTGCCCGACGATCCCACCTCGTGGTGGAAGGTGCCACCCACAGTGGAGTGACCGTCGGACGTGCTCGGCTTCCCTCCCGTCGACTTCTGGCCCAGGCGGCCCGAGCCCGACTTGTCCAGGGTGCCCGTGCTCCTGGTCGCGCCCTCCCCTACGCCGTGGTACTTGATGAACTTGTTGCCCTCGGAGCGCTTGATGATCGAGTGGGGCTTGCCGAACTCCTCCTCGGCGAATGCCAGCGCGATCTGCATGTAGTGAAGATTTGTGTTGTCTTTTCCATCATTTGGCACGTACACTATTAGCACAACCCTCTTTCCATCCATTCGAAACTCAGTTTTAAAACTTTCCTTGCTTTGCAAATCAAACTTTAGAACAGTATGTCAGTTTTAACTGCAAGATGAAAGAGTTGTGCACTCCAAACTGCAATTATCGCCATGAACAATAATGAACTTTCTCAGAGCACCCATCTTCTTTGTATAGGAATTCTCTTTCAAACGAGCCGACAAGTGATAGGTTGCGATTTATATTGAAACAGGCACATTCACCTACAGTGGTTCCCACACAATCGTTTCTTATCGCATAACCTTTCTTTTAATACAAAATCGCAACCCTGTGTGTTTGCTTGAAAAATTATGTTAAGACGAAGAAGATAGCGTCCTCAAAACAACTTTTTTGTTCATGGTTAGAAAATTGCAAATATGCACCATGCGCTTACCACAAGGACCGACAGAGCGCAAAGGACGGCAGCGAAGCGGGCCATGGTGTCGTTATATCGGCGAGGTGGTTAGGTCGCCCTATATATATCTGCTCACATTGGTGGCCCCGGCTTATTGGTAATTGTGATGCATGCATTCGGGTCACGAACAAGCTGACTAAATTTTGGTTAGTAATTCGAGAAGAAAACAACTTTATGTGAGATTCCTGGTAGAGTCGTAAAACGGAAAGAATAATAATAGTATCCCGGGCGTGCACCCGCTGTACACGTGGTTTCTAGAAGCTACCTAAAAATGGTCTAAATGGATGAGCCACGTGGTAAGCCGTTCTTGGGAACCTAGAAGCGGCGTTTTCACCGTGCGGGCATGCGGGCGTTCGCGAGGGGTGCCTAACTCCATAAAAATGTGTACACCGGATTACCGAATTGTAAAGATTACCAATGATTTCCAAAGATTACCAAAGATTACCTATGTATACTAGATATGATCCACCTGCTTTCTAAATCGAAACGGCCATTTTTCGTTCCGAGAAAGATGCAATTTTGTGCAACTCTTTGGTAGTTCTTGATTCTTTATCATGCAAGTTACAAATTTGCATTCTATCATTGGCCAAATCATGATTTTGTTCATGGGAGGGATGCAAAAATGCCATATTAAACGTGCGCGTTGGCATTTAGGTAAAATGTGCACAAAAATTCATGTCTAAGTAAACAAATTTTTCCTTTTAAAGGACCCTCAGGAGTGTGAGGATTACCAGGGATTACCAGTGATTACCAGTGATTACCAAGTCTGTGTACACCTGATTACCACAGATGGGCACTCCTCGGGGCGTTCGCTTAAAGTATTTGCATTTGCGCACCACCTTAGTTTATGTATAAGCTCAAAAATGTGCAAAGTTAGACACACTGTGGCGAGGGGGCAATAACTCCGGGAATTATGTGTACACCTGCCTGGGAATCATCAAGATAAATAAAATTCATCGAAATCAACTGAAATCGCTTGAACTAAGCGGGAAACTAGTGGAACTGATACAACTTATTCGAAATAAACGTTTTCTACCACTAGAAAACCTAAAGAATAAATGTAAGCGGACGGAATCGCCGGGAATCACTGGGAATCAAGTACTTCGGGAATCATTTGTGTACACACCAAAAGGGAGTTATTGCCCCCTCGCACTGTGGTGTAACTAAAATATACGTTAAAAAGTGTTCAAACTTCAGATATTTCGGAAAAGATTAGCAGTCACACACATCATTTTGAGGTTTCCGCTGTTATCATTAACCTAAGTGAATGTGTCCAAGTGTGGAAACTTCAGATGTTTTCAAAAGGGTCGAGCCAAGTAAGCAGCATTAAGTAAAACTGTCGATAGCTTTCCCTGTGACAACCGTTTTTTAATTATTATTTTTGAGAATGTTGCTGCGGCGCGTGTTTAGGGCTTTGCGGCGTTGCTCGAGCAGAGTTCCCATCGTAAACTCTCTTCACACTCGTCGTTGCACTTATAACGACCTGCCCGCCCGCGGTCGCGCCGAACGGTGCACGCCCGAGCGTGAAAACTGCGGACGCGGACGAACGTGCGAGCGTGCGGGCGCACCGAGGGGGCGGCACAGCTTTTTGTTTAGCATTAGAAAGGGTTCAAGACTGCTTGTTCGACGCACTACTGTTTAACCTTTCCACCGGGACCGGACCGGATGAAGCAGGACGGTTGGCCGTGTTTGAAGTATACCTCTTCCTCTTTTAGAGGGAGGTCCTCGCCCCGCCCCGCTGCGCCCCCGCAGCTTGCGCCGCGCGCCGAGCGGAAAAAGAAATGAAAAGGAAAAGTTGTTGTAGACGCAGCAGTCAGCCGAGGTTCTCCCGCGACTCTGCTCAAGCTGACCCTCGTTATGTCCTCGTGACAGTCCCCCCACCTGCTTCACGCACACGTGTCAGTCTCCACATGCGCGCGCGCGTGTGTGTGTGTGTGCGGGGCTTTCTCCCTATTCTGCTGCTCTGCAGCCTATAACCCGAGTGAGTCGCTATGATACCATGCCGTGCGCATGTCGTGCGGCTTCCTGCACCGCCCTCTCCCAGTCGCCCCGCCCCACCCCGCCCCGCTCTGAGGAGGACGTTGTCGAGAGCAGACATGACGGCTCCGGAGAAAGGAAAAGTCCCGCGAAAATGACGGTATTTTGAACAACTGCGCGCTGCTTACCTCATGCGTGGTCCGTTCCGTCCGTCCCGTTCTGTCCGGCGGTCCGTCCGGTCATCCAGGGACGGGCTTGGCCGAGTAAAGGCGGCAAATCCCGCCCAGGGCCCCTTTCTTTGGCCTTTAGCTTTTTAGGTTTTAGCAATAGTTTTGCTCCCTTTATCTTTGCAAATTCTCGCCT